CTCTGTAATTAATAATAGTGGTTGCTAAAGTGAATCCTTTTTGAGGCTGGGGCACAGTTTGTTGGTTGGGGAGTGAGGGGGTGGATGGTCTAGTTCTGACTCTGTCCCTGAACAATTCTTTCCAGGCAGACACTGTCCAATTGTTCCTCTTAGATGTGTAAGGTCAATTATGTCACTTCCCCCTGCACCCCTCATTAATCAAACGAGGAGTTGTCCTCACTCATCGACTAGGCCCTCTCTAGCTCTAAAAGATTTCTTGAAATCCTGAGAAAGTATACATTCTTACCTGTTTGACTTATTCCGTTTGGTATTCCTATGGCAACAAAAGTCCTACATATGAGATAGCAGAATTCATATTTCCTAAGACTATCTCAGTGATTCTGAATGTAAAAGGCTTAGTCCCCAATATGATGGCATTTGGAGATGGGGCCTTTGGGAGCTAATTAGGGTTAGGTGAGGTCGTGAGGGTGGGCCGTCACAATGGGTTAGTGCCCTCATAAAAAGTGACACCAGAGAGCTTGTTCAATCTCTCTGCACTCGCATTCACCAAGGAAAGGCCATGTGAATATACAGCTACTAGGTGACTATCTGCAAGCTGAGAAGAGGGCCCTCACCAGGAACTGAGTTGGCTGGCACCTTGATCTTGGTCTTTCCAGCCTCCAGACTATAAGAAATGTTTGAGCCACCTAGTCTATGGTCTTTAGTTACAGCAGCCCAAGCAGACTAAGACAGCAAGCATTCTCTAGGATAGTCATGGTGCCTTAGCCTTGGCCATCTTTGTGCTGAAAGACCCATCTTCATGCAGTCCAGGCAGTATGGAATGTATGTATCATCAAGTAAGGCAAAGCAGAGGCTTTTCATGCCTTATTTAAGTGAAGATAGCCAATATTGTCACACAATTTCATGCATTGTTGATTTGTTAGGAGTAGAAATTGCCTGAACTAAACTATAAAATATTTAAGATAAGTACTCAGTAGGTAGCCATGGGAAATGAAAGAGGACCTGCAGTCCTCTTTGGAAGCAGGCAGGGTAGGAATTATAAAAGTATATTAGTAAGAATTAAACAAGGAGATGGATGTCTCCAGAAACAAAACCAATTTCTAGAGCATGTCATTTTCATCACTGTAATGATTTCCATGGTATACATTTTAGCTCCACTGGAAATGACAATGTAAGTGTCACGCTGAACATCATATATCTTAAGTGACATCTTGTGCATTCTTACTCTTTCAGAACCAATTCAAATGTCATCTTTCCTGTGACTTTTCTAAATATCATTTGAAAATGACATTTGCATACTTTTACTTTCCATGGTCCCCATACAAAATTTATTAATCTTTCCTCAGGGCTCCCATTGCAACTTGGTTTTACTTTTATAAAGCATTTATAACATCATATTACAGGAAGTTGCGTTTCCTTTCTGTTCTGCTAGTTAATGAACTCTCTGATGGCAAAGCCATGGACATGGAAGCTACTCAATAAATGCTTGAATGAATGGATGGATGGATGAATGAATTGGTGCTCCTTTGTATATGACTGATTCCTCATTTATCTCAGTCTTCCAAAGACTCTTTGACGTGGCTGCCAGACTGCGGCTCTCTCTGCCTCCATCTGCCCATCTATTATATAATGCCAGGAACAGTAGTTAAACATTATCGTTTTTTTCTGTCCTCAGAATCTTTAATCAGCCGTGGCAGCTGCCAGGATGCAGAGCCAGTAAGCTCCAAAGGTCACATATGAAGATCCAGTGTTTTAATAATATTTGTCCCAACTGTTGTTTAGTCCATAATTCAAAGGTTTCTTGATCTGTATTCATCCTGAAACTGCTGACAGTTCACAGCTGCCAAAGACCACCATAACAACATGGAATATTATGTGGCCTGAGTTGGTAGGTCTTTCCTCCTGTTTACTAGGAAAGTAACTCTCCTATAGTTTATGGTCTTGACAACTCCTTGCAAATGAAATAAAACCAATTATTTATATGACAATCCAATTGTTAAATTCAGGATAGAATCTGGAGCACAACTTTCCAACAGCTCCTTAATGTGTTGTGTGGCAGAATCATGAAGTAAGCAGATTTTATCCTAAATAGCTGAATACCTCCCATTTAGTCTTTTCTCCCTTCCTCTGTACTGGCATCTAGCCCATGTTCTATTTCTTCTGAATCTTGATTTTGGTTGGCCCTTACATATATGCCACCTCCAAGGAAATTTCCTCAAGGTATGTAGGGTTAAGTAGCTGAAGACCTAACAAGACATCAGTCATAGGCATATGTCATGGTACAATGACCAAGGGTAAGGCTGAGCTTTTAAGCAAGAATCTTGCCCTTGAATAACACCAAGTAGGCAGCCCTCTCTGAAGAAGCTGTGACGGATATGGCCATAACTAAGTGGTATGTAGAAGACAGTGGAGAGATGTTGGAGTATTTGTGAATAAAGTTCTTAGGTTAATTCATTTTTCCACCCTTCCTTCCTTCCTTCCTTCCTTCCTTCCACAAGTACTTGTTGAGTACTTACTATGACCTGGTCATTGCCCTAAGCTTAGGAGAAACAGCAATGAATAAGACCAGGTCCCTGTGCCCTCACAGAGCTTACATTCTTATAGAAGAGAGAGATAATAAATATGTAAATCTTTAAAATATATATATAATTTCAGGAATAGACTACTGGTATTATGAAAAACAATAATGATTGAAAGTTATAGGGCCGGCCCGGTGGTGCACTGCTATAGTGTGCCGCTTGGGAAGCGCGGTGGCGCTCCCGCCGAGGGTTCGGATCCCACATACAGACCGGCTGCTCACTGGCTGAGCGAGGGGCGGGGGCAACACCGAGGGTTGCGATCCCGTTGCCGGTCCCAGTCCGGTACGAGCGCGACACTGAGGGTTGCGATCCGTTGCCGGTCACGAAAAAAGACAAAAAAAAAAAAAGAAAGTTATGGCATCTCCTCAAAAAATTAAGCAGAGAATTACCATGTGATCCAGCAGTTTCACTTCTGGGAATGTGCTCAAAAGAAATGAAAGCATTATATTGAATAGATATTTGTGCACCCATGTTTACAGCAGCGTCATTCACAAAGGCCAAAAGGTGGTAGCAACCCAAGTGCTCATCATGCCTGAAGAGATAAACAAAATGTAGTATATACATGCAATGGAATATTATTCAGGCTAAAAAAGAAGGAAATTCTGACACATGCTATAACATAGGTGAAACTTCAAGTCATTATGCTAAGTGAAATAAGTCAGTCATAAAAGGACAAACATTGTATAATTCTACTTATATGAAGTACCTAGAGCAGACAAATTCATAGAGATAGGAGAATGTAGAACAGTAGTTTCCAGGGGCTGGGGAGAGAAGGGAGCTGTAGTCTAATGGGCACAAAGTTTGTGTTTGGGAAGATGAACAAGTTCTGGAGATGGACAGTGATGATGATTGCCCAGTACTATGAATATACTTAAAACCCTTGAACTGTACTCTTAAAATGGTTAAAATGGTAAATTTTATGTTATGTATATTTTACCACAAAAAAAAAATTCCAAAAAAAATCTTTTAAAAAAAATGGGGAAGGGGCTGGAGTAGGAGGGATTTTAGTTAGGATTGTCTGGGAAGTCTCCTCTGAGGAAGAGGTGGCATTTTAGTAGAGAATAGTCAGAATGATGAGGGGAACATGGGATGACACTGGGGAACAATTTTGATTTTGTTCTACATGCAGCAGAATTCCTTTGGAGAGTATTGAAAAGAAAAAAAGAGTTACCACTTTAAAAGATCATACTGGCTGCTACGTGAAAGCAGATGAAGGGAGGAAAGCTGGGAACCAGAAGACCAATTAAGAGACTGTTGCCGTTGTCCAGGCTAGTGGTTGCAGCGGCTCAGGTGATGCTGAGATAAGGGGGAGGTGGTGAGAAGTGGTTAGACGGGGATTGTATTTTCAAGGTAGAGTCATCATGACTCACTGATGGATTTGACCTGCACTGTAGGGAAAAGAGATGCATGAAGGATGATGTCTCAGTCTTTATCTGAGCAACTTAGCAAATGCGGGTGTCCCATCTACTGAGATGGAAATGCCTAGGGGAAAAACTAGTTGGGGAATATTTAGAGGTATGGGGAGGCAATTGAGGGATGTGTTACATAGAAAGTGAAATCATATGTCTAGCAGAGTACTAGCACATGGATAGCTATTTATCAAATAATGGGTGAATGAATCAATGAATGAAACTGAATGGGTAAATGGAGGGAAGGAGGGATGAAGGAAGAAAGGAAACCCTCTAAATTTTACAAAATATGGAGAATATTTGGCAAAATAGTATTATCTTAAAGACCCCATGCCATAATTTGGGAGAACTGGGTTTCTGCCTCACAAGATAACCAAACCTCAGATTACTCCTCCCAGCTTTTATTCTGGCACCTCTCCGTCTTTCTTCCTCTGTGGGAAACATGCTTACCTGTTTGGTCATCCCAGCCAGCAGGCCCATAGCACTGGCACTCCTGTGCGGAAGTGCAGAGGGACAGCTCTTGAAGCAGGAACAGCCAATCAGTGAGCTCCTCTGCAGTGGGGTGGGGCCCCTTGCCAGTCACCCCACATCACCAACCACACCTCCCCATCCCTCTCCCAACCCACATGCTCTCAGCATCCCCACAGTGCAGGTGTTGTGGGGCTGGCCCCCCAGCAGTCCAGACAAATTCCCATAAGTCAGTTTCCCCAGAGGGTCATGGGTCTAAGCAAGCAGGAGACAAGATTAGTTCAGTCCACATACTGGCTGGTCTTGAGGTGACTGACCTACTAATTGCTTTTACTGAAACTTCAGGCTATGAGACTCGCAAGGGGAGAGCAATTAGTGGGAAGAAAATTTTTAAATTTCACCTTCACAATTGGGAGGGCACGATGCCAAATGAGAAATACCTGTGAAAATATTGTAAAACAGCCACAGGGCAACAGCCTTGCCTCTATTTCACATCTTACCTAGTTTTCACATATTAACCACTTTTGCACTGGCTCTTCCACAGGATGGAGGGTACAGAGTGTGCCTACATCGGTCCCCTTGCCTGTTTCTCTTCCAGCAAAAATTACCACACCGACCACCATCTGGACTGGCTCTCCACAAAACACTGCCGCGGTCACTGCCTCCCCATCCAACGGCACTCACAGCAACTCGCTACTCCCAGTTACAGCAGCAGCCCCAACATCTCCGCTCCCCAAGAACATTTCCATAGAGCCCAGGGATGAGGCGACCACCAACCCAGCTCCGAATTGGGAAGGCACAAACACAGATCCCTCACCTCCTGGGTTTGCGTCAACAAGCGTTGGAGTCCACTTAGCACCCACGCCCAAGGAACACAGCTCGGGCGCTCCTGAAGCAAGCGTGCCAGCTACAGGGTCGCAGTCCCCCACTGAGTCTCCCACACTCATCTCCCCTCAACCTCCAGCCTCATCACCCTCATCCCTCTCGACCTCACCACCTGAGGTTTCTTCTGCCTCCATCACCACCGACCACAGCTCCACTGTGACCAGCACGCAACCCACAGGAGCTCCAACCACACCAGAGTCCCCAACAGAGAAGCACAGCTCTGGCCACCCACCCACTTCACATGCCACAGCCAAGCCAGTGCCCAAGGAGAAAACTCCTGTGCCAACCAAAGGGACATGTGAGCCGATAGACACCGAGACCACCACCACCCTCCCCAGGGTGATTATGCAGGAAGTGGAACATGCATTAAGTTCAGGTGAGTCTCTGTCTAAACCGCTAGTGTTCATGACTGCACTGAGATGTTAAGAATGCAGTTCAGTTAACCAAACACAGTGGACTAGGTTTGAATTTTGGAGTGCAGCACCTGAGCTGAATTATAATTCAGAAGAATTACCACAAGACTGCAAACTTTATTTTTAGTGACTTCTTAGTTTCCACCTGGTATGTTATTCATTGCAGCCAATTGCCACCTTTATGATTTATCTTCACATGATATCAAAGGGAATGTAAGCACATGAGACTGTATAGCAAAGAGATTAATGATGTGGCTCTTGGACAAATTTCCTTGGTCTCAATTCTGGCTCCCGACCTTAGGCAATTTACTTCATCTCTCTGTGCCTTTATTTTTCATCTGAAAAATGGGGATAAAATAGGTTCTCCCATATACAGCTCTTGTGGAGTTCAAATGCGATAATATATAAAAGCACTTATAACAGTTCTCAGCAAAGAGTAAATGCTCAGAAATGTCAGTTATTATTCTGCTCATTGTTTTAAAGAAGGGTTTAACTCTTGGAAAAGCAGTCAAAGTAAGGTGGAGATGGAGAGAACTTGCTCGTTCTTTATAGTTACTGATGTATTTCATGGAAAAGAAAATAAATTTTACAAGATGTTACATTTGTTTTTATTCTCCCATCGACCATATAAAGTTAGTATTACTTTTATCTTCATTTTGCAATCCTTGAAATCACAGAGGAAAGACTTTAGGGTCTTTTCTGATGCCACATGCATCTGACACTTTTGTAAAGACTGTAAACTTTAGGGTATTGGGCAGGAAAGGGCTTTCATGCGAGCATTTGGCCTCTTGGTTGAGAAACAGTGAGGTAAGGATAGCCAGAAGGTGAAGGGCAAAATGGAGACGGGGCCCTTTCCCTGCATGGCCCTGCGAGAGGCGTGAAGTGAGAATGGAATGTCCAGACAGAACCATGTATGACCTGCTACGTCAAAGGAATGGCTGTCAGAGAGGAGAAATTTATATCTTTTAACAAACAATTAATAAACAACCACTGTAAAGGTAAACTGTGCTAGGTAGCAGAGGTGGAAGCGATAGAACTAAGATTAACAAAGATATGATTAGTTTCTCATGGAAGAGCTCACAACATAGTAAGGAAAGAAGTGCCAAAGAAATGCAAGTTCTTATTTCAGAGGCCCAGTATATCAGCGAGGACCCCAACAAAGGATAAAGATACTAACTACAAAGGTCTGGGTGGGGTGTCTTAACAGCAGGACTGTTAGGGGTCAGGCCTAAGAGGGAAGGAGGGGGTAGTGACCAGGACCCAGAGCAGAGAGCTCTGTAGAGCAGATCACCTTGACAGGAGCAGGCACTCTTGGTTGAGAGACAACTAACCCAAGGTTAACCTCTTTGGAGTAAAGGGAATAAATACTCTGCCCTCTCTCTCCCTCTCTCCTCTGATATGCAGCCAGAAGCCAAGGACAAGGGATGCCGCCCATGGATATAGTCTATACAGGTCAGCCTCCTGGAGGACTGCTCGGAGCCAAGTGGAGGAGGGTGGAGAGGATCTGCAGAGGTGAAGGAGGAAACCTATTGGTTCCTCAATGCAGCCCATCCCCACTGGCACCCTGCTTTACCTCCAGGCCAGTGCTCACCATGCTGCACCTGGATGTGTGCCTTCTGCCTCTGTCTCTACCCTAACCCCCACACCCCATGCTCCCAGCATGCAGGTAACAACATCTCTGGCATAGGAACCTGGAGCAGAGTGGGTGTCAACTTTGACTCGGTGTCTTAACAACTGTCTCCAACAAAGGGGCCATGAGAGTACAGGCTTGCAGGCCATGGCCCGTCCCTTCTCTAGTTCCTGCCCTCACCACCACCTGTGTACACTACTTCCATTTTCTAACTGGTCTCCCTCTCTTCACTCTGTCTCCTCCAGGGTACCTTAGACATGGCAGATTAATATTACTGAGCACAGAATCTGAGCTTGGCACTCATGAATCTCCACAGTCTAACACATCTACTACTTTCTAAAGTACCCTAGTTTCATGGGCTGGATTTTTCCAAGACAGTTCTGTTCCAGTATTTTGCCTTATTTTTTAGAACATATGTCTTGGTATCCTCAATTCTAAGCCAGCAGGGTCAAGAGGCACAAAATAAGTAGCACAGTTGGGTCATGAACCTTCATAGTTCTTGGGAGTATTGCACACAGTAGGAACTCCAGAGTAAATGAATGAAGGAATACTTGAGTGACTGGGGAAGAGATAGGTGTGGCAGGTTAGAGGGAGATCACCGAGCAGGGCCACTGTACGTTTTATAGACCAAAGAGGATTTATCTCTTAGGATCTATTAAATCAAAATATACTTATTGTGCATCTACCAGGACCTTCTGCATGATGCAAAGAAGTACAAGACCTGCCCTTTGAGATTCTATAGTTTAAGTAGGAAGAAAGGGCACAAACACGGGTATCTCTGAATGCCACTCCTTAGTTTCTAATCTGAGAATGAACTGAGGTGGGTGGAAGTATCTTTGGGGCAATGTGATACAATCTGTTCATTTCAAAGGTGAAGAAACTATGTCCCAGAAGTTTGAAGTGCCTCACCCAAGGTCACATGGCTCAGTGGCAGAGCTGGGCCCAGAGCCCAGATCCCTAAACCCTAATCCTGCTTTGCCACCCAGCATTGCTGCTCTGTGCCTTCATCAGCCAGCAGACCAAGCAGCGCTCTGAGAGGCTGTGCCTCCAGATTACTATTTTGGGATGTTCTTGTTTAGGTATTCTTGTGCTGTCTTTAGTAGTGGTAGAAATAATACCACACTTTTGTATAGTGTTTTCTCTGATTGTGTGTAGCTTCACATAGCATATTTCTATTAATCCAAGGACCCATCCACTCAAATATCTAAACATAGTCACCAATGAATAATTCTGAAACAAGGCAAATGTTATGGGCATTCAATTTGACTAGAGGAATCAAGGAAGGCTCCATGATGGAGGTAGCTAGAAGCTGAATCGCAGGAGATAAAGGGAACGGGGGCCTAAAGAGAGATGAAGGGGATTTGGGCAACGGAGTTTTGGGTGTCTGTGCACAAAGGCTGCACACGCCTGGGTTCACAATCCACCCTGCGGCTGTAAGCACTGAGACTGCTCTTGTCTAGAGGTTAACTCTCAGATCGGGTCTGACCCGACCTGTCAGCAGCATTTGACCCAGATGAGCACTGCCATCATCCTGGAAGCACTGCCTCAGCCCTGCCTCCAGGACACCTCACTGTCTGTGCCGCTTTGCTCCACCCCTCCCCTTCCCACGCTAAGCAGGGCGGGCACCCCACTGCTGTCCCCCACCCCCAGTCCCTCCACTTCTCTCCACACTCACTCCTGAGATGATCTCATCCCGGATCGTGACTTCAAATACTGTCTGCACACTGATAACTCTGACATGTAAAGTTCCGTCCCTCTTTTGTTTCATGCAGCTAAAGATATGTATGCCCAGCTATCCGCCAACTCCTAATCTCCACTTGGGCAGCTCGTAGACATCTCACGTTTCAGATGTATAAGATGAAATACTGATTTCCTCCACTCTCAGTCTGCTCCTCCCTCAGTCTTTCCCTTTCTTCTTTCCATTCCTCAGGTCCAAACCGTGGTGTAATCCTGGACTCCCTTCTTTCTCGCCTACCGCACATTCAGTGCATCAGATCTGGACTCAAATCTCGCCCCTCTGCCACCTCTCACCTGCGTTACTTTAATATTCCTGTACCTGATCTCACTACTCACAATACCCTTGCCAGAGAGATCTTTTTAAAACTCAGATCCTGCTGCCCCTTGGCTCTACCACTTCCATTGCTTCCCTTCTAAATCAGAGTAAGAGCCCAAGCCTGTGTCAGGCCTGCAATACTCAGCACAGCCTGAGCCCGCATGGCCTTTCTGCTCTCACCTGCTTCCACCTCAAACACACAGGTAATCTTACCGTTTCTGGAACATAAACGAGGATACTACTGCCTCAGGGCCTTCATGCTTTCTGTTTCCCCTGCCTGAAACTTTCTCCCTCCGGATCTTTAATGGCTCACTCCCTTTCATTAGTCAGGATACGGTTAGCTGCTACCCCCCCCAGCAAGGCTTTACTCACTCTCCTGTCTGAAGTAGTGCCCCCATCACCGCTGATCTCCAACACTGCTTTATTTTGCTTTTTATCACTTACCACTTTCTGACATCATCTCATTTATTTGGTAAGTCAGTGTCTGTTTTCTGCCACTAGACTATCAGTTCCATGGAAGCAAGGACGCTGTTCACAATAAGCAAGACGTAGGTTACATTTCCAGCCCCTAAAACAGAGCCTGACACATGGTAGACCCTAAATAACATTTGCTGAATAAATGAGTGAAAGACTCAATCATCTAATATCAGGGAATTTATTTAATCTCTCTGAGCCTCAGTCTTATCAGTAAAATGGGGTAAGGACAGGATTTGCATGATGGGGCAATTAGAAAGTTTAGATGAGAGAATAAATTTATAGCATAGTGGCCATCAAGCAATAGCTTAATGGATGGCTATGGTTGTTATCTCCTATTACTTACTGTTGTTGTTATATTATTATTACTGTCTTGCTAATGAGATTATTATTATATTTATCATATTAAAGAACGTCCCCCATCTTGAACAAACATTTATTGAGCTTCTACTATGAACCAGACATCTGGCTAAGTGTAAGGGATATAGCAGTGAATAATATAGTCACTTTGCTTACGTACATTACAATGTAGCATGTAAATGGCACACAGCATAGCAAGTAATCTAGTTTGGCGGCTCCCAGACTGTGTGAATCCCTTCACTGCAGATGAAGAAGGAAGATTTCAGGATAGGTGTTACAGGACACTGCATAGCAGGATAAGACAATTAGTTATACTTTCAGGCCATTGATAGTCACCAAAGGCTTTCAATCAGGGGAAGAACGTGCTGAGAATGATATTTTGAGAGTATTCGACTGGCAGGAATATGTGTAGCATGTTTCGGGAGTTCAGGGCTGGAAATGTACAC